TCACTATTAGATGTTCCATGACTTCCATCTATATTGTAATCTGTTCTAAGGGGATTGTATGTACAGCATTTTTACACAAAAAATTGGAAATATTCTCAATGCACGCTGGGCATATGTATGGCGTACTCTGTGTGGAGCCATCTGAATTCTTTGCTCACATTGCCCCTTGAATATTTTTCTTCGTCAATTTCAATATATGTGTGTACCATCATCGTCAGCATGTAAAGGCAACAAAGAAATGCCCCATATTTTTGCAACCAAGATCACTCTTTCTAGTGCCTTATCTGGAGCTCGAGCTATTGTTGTGTGATAAATCTTTTTCTTTCTTTTGTCTGGGATTCTTGGCTAGTTTTTTGCCAGGTTAATACATTCACTTACACATCCATATGATATTATTATATCCCGATTGCATCCTCACAGAATTTGTCCTTAATGTCTCCATATTTGTATGATTTTATTCAAGGCTGTGAGAACCAATCCTGTGAGGAAGAAATCCTCTCTCTATCTCTCTCGGGTAAGGAATCAACCGATCAGATGTATCATCCACAAAGGATTTACCTACAACCAAAAATGAAGAAACGCATAAGTGGCAATATATCAATTATTAAAGCGAAACCCACATAATAAAATCCATGACCTCTGTTAGGTGAAGTCCCTGAATAGGTTTTTATTCTCTAATACACATGTAAAAGCCCATAGGAGTATGGGACTTAAAAGTATGAGCAACCACAGGTTCATCCATACATTGTATTGAAATCTTCAGATCACTTGGTTAAACAAACTGCAACATCATACCAAAGAACTTTGAATGCCCATATATCAATATACTAATGATGCAGATGGGCTAACCATGATTCTTCTTATATCACTCGTACTTCATCCTATTCATTTCTGTAGGTTCCAAAAATATAAATATATAGGATTAGCGCAAAACCTTATATTTTATATACATATTTATATTTATACTCCTTCCAAACTGACCCGTAAGTGCAGAGACCAAGTCAAATTTAGTGATGATAAGGAGCAAACCACACTTAATTCTGGGTCGTCCGTTGCTGAACACGATCACTTGGATTATTTGGGGAGCCCAGCAACTAGGAAGATGCATCATTGGAGATGAATTTGTGATGCAATGCCAGCAACGGAACCTTGAAGAAAAAAGATCATCTACTTGTATTGATGAGGGCGATGTTTTATTTCACATAGGATTGCTAATAATAATGTAAATGCTGTGTCATATGGTTTAGTGGTTGTCTACTCACATTGTGCGGCAATAATAACAATATCCACCAAAGAAGGTCCAGCTATATCCATCCATTGGCACAACTATTCTTCTTTTTTCAATGTACAATGTAAACAGACATCTAGCAAGCCTTTTTCTTTTCTTCATAACTCGTTAAAACTTGTATAATAAGGGGAAGAACCAAAGAGGGCCGGGTTGATTAACTTGGAAGCCATTACTCTATGTTAACTTGGCTTAATTAGATGCCCATTTGACCAATCGAGGGCTGGTTTGTTCTAGTGTTGACAGGGAATCAAATCCCACAACTAGCACTTTGGAGAAAAAGGGGTCAGGAAATCTATTAATGGTGCATAGCATCAAATACACAAATAAATAAATAAATAGATGCCTCTTTGAGAGGTCTGAAGTGGGATTCATGCAAAAAGCCCATAAGTTATGTTTGGCGACAATCCAAAAGGCGCACATCAACATTCGTTGGATCTTCTTGATAAAGCATTGAATTATAATATACGTGATGGAGGGTTATTTGGCCCGACCTCGTAATAAGGGGACACGTGGACGTGACTCGACATAGGTGACAATTCGGCATAGCCAGCTCGCTACAAAGTAATACTCCATTACTCCGAACTAAAATTCTTCGAGCTGAGATCACCCCGAGCTAAGGGCACCTTGGTACCAGGTCGCGGCACCAATACCTAATTCAGTTCGAGGTGTATGAGCCTTAGCTCGGGAACATCAGTTCGAGGGGAAACCAGCTCGAGCGTGCCGATCTGCCCTCGATGTAATCTCGAAAGTCACTCCAACGATTCCCGAATTCCGCGGGATCACGCCTCGTAACAACTAAGAATTATCTTCCCGTCCGATCCGGGCGGAAGTGATTAGCCTTATCCACTCATAATGTTGTCTCCAGATAACACGAAAACAGATTCTATTATGGCAAAGATCACGGAACTACTCCGTAAAGCCCGCGAGGACTCCATTATATAAAGGCCTCCCTCCCGGGGCCCAAGGTACGTGCAATTACTGCTTACTAGCTCTCTGGCTCTCTAATTACTCTCAGCTCGCATATACTGACTTAAGCATCGGAGCGACCTCGCCGGGTAAGCACCCCCGGGTTCTCTGGTTCTTTCTGTGCAGATTCTTCACATCCATTGTCCACTGGAAGCCAAGTCACCTCCAGCTAGGAGCAGCCAGATTGCGACGCATCAGTACGTAATAAACCATACACATTAGTGAACAGTAGCCCTATATAAATAATAGGCCAAAAGGTGTTCTTTTTTTGCCACCATTTGCTTTTAAACTTCAAAACCTTCGAGCATGTCAAGAGACACTTAGAAGCTGATTGGTCATTTATAATAGTGCCTCTTTTTATGTTGAACTTTGCAAATAGCAACTATACCTTTTTTTTATCTCCCATGGTCTCTTTCATGCATGGTTTCCCTTATTTATCTATTACTATATGAAATTGTGAATAGCAATTTCCCCAAGTTGCACGCAGAAAAGATATATGAAGAAGACCTTTTCCTTTTCTCACTCCTATATACCATGTTCAATTCACGTTCCTCCCTATCTATAACCATATATAAAGTTATTACCCAACAATAAAAAAAAAAAAAATAACCTATATATATAAAGCGGATACCCAACTTAGATCATGCAAAAAAATCTAAATAAAGTGGAGCTCTCATCTTTTCTGTTAATATCAAATGTTCCATCTAGTTCTTTGAATTTATCAAACAAAAGGGACCCAGTTGTGCTTTTTTTTTTCCTTTCCATTTCCAATAATATTTTATAATAATTTCCATGTCTTTTGAACCAAAAAAATCGGTGTCTTAGTTTTTTTTTTTTCAATATTTGTCACATAGGAAAATGATTGTCACCTGTTTGATGAATCAGCCATAGTCCAATGATAGATCTGAACACTTGGCATGAAAAATCAGAACCTAATTACCCCGGCCCCTCCCCCACACACACAGAGGATATTGAATGATCAATTCTCATATGTAATTTGTCCTCGAGTTTGCCCATGTCAAACCATGGATGAGTCACCAACACATAATCCAATCATTGCCATTTCACTTACCTACAAGGTTGGAGAGAAATTATTATTTTCTAGTAATATCTCCCTACAGTCAGTCGGTTGGGTGCATTCTTTATAGCCCAATAGCATGGTTCCCCTGTACATTGTATATGCAGCTTTTTGGGTTTCTCTTCAATGAGAATAAAGAAAAGAAAAAGAGAAAAGAAAGAAAAAGGAAAAGAGGTGGGGATTGTGGGAAATCATTTTCAGTTCATTTTGGGTCCCAATCTTAGAGTTTTTTAATTTTAGTCTCAATATTAATTAATTATATTCATGAAAATCATATATAACCTGACTTATCATATTCAAATTCAGATAGAATTAATCTTCTTCTATATATCGGACCTCAATCCTCTTTTCCAACTAAAGATATATAGTGCAGGCAACTATTTGCACTAATTTTCACTATTTCTAAATCATGCCACTAAGTTCTAAATCTAGCACAAACCCCATTTGAGCTTACTTCATTATCTTATCAGCTAAGAATAAAAATAATAGAAAAGCATGCACTTTTTCAGATTCTTTCTTTTTTATTACAAATGAAACTTAGCCTTTTTAGAATAATGTTGTCCAAATTAATGATTAACTAAATGAACTATAAAAAAAATAATAATAATAATAACAACACTACAACTTTGATGAGATTCTCCTAAACAATAACAATCAATAGAAAAGCTACGTACTGTCTATTGACCGCCTAGAAAGGCATTTTGGAAGTGGCTGGGAAGAGGTCGTATATAAATAAAAGAAAACCTAATGGGCATAAGTCTCCATTGGTAGAGAAATTTGTGGAGATTTTATTCTACATTTTTTAATTGTAAAGTGAAAATTTGAATACTAAGATGGAAGTATTATTATTATATGTTGTTAATTATAAAATAAGATAACAATGAACAAAACCATGAATAAATGTTATACCAACAAAAAGAAAAATCAGATTTGAGAGTGTGAATATACATATTAATTTTTCCCAATGTGGCAGCTAGTTTTATTTTAGAAAACACAAAGAAAGATCAGATTTGATTTGAGTTGAGTTGAGATCTACATATATTCCCAACCAATGAACTTAATCATGAATAAATGTTATACCAAGAAAAAGAATGATCAGATTTGAGAGTGTGAATATACATATTAATTTTTCCCAATGTGCCAGCTATTTTTGTTTTAGAAAACAAAAGGAAAGATCGGATTTGATTTGGGTTGAGATCTATATTCCCAACCAATTGCAAATGAATTGAATTCCAATCTCTTGAATCAAATTAGATTCCAAATACAAATTCCCACTTGAATAGTTGCATCTGAGCATGGTTGAGTTTAAACTGAATTGCCTCTTTTGGTTTTAAAAAAAAAAAAAAAAAAAAATACAGGAGGTCAAATATGGAAATTAAACAGCCTGACTACAACTGAAATTAAACAGCCTGGGCTATTTGCGAGCTTCCACCCCATGACACATTACCCCACTCAATCCCTAGCTTGTCTTTTTGCCTAAATTTACCAAATAAAAAATAAAATCAACCGAAACCTTGAACAAGTTCATTCATTCATTAAACTCTAAAATCTAAACTATTATATATTTATCATATTTGGAATACATCAAATCCGTCATAAACAAAGTATCATTATATCTTCATAAGCTTCTCTCACTGTATATATAGCATTAAGGAATGCTCCCTCACTAGTCATGTTATGCCGTGGTCTGGTTAAGAGAAGTGTAAGAGAGAGAGTAAAAGCAGAGACGCTTTATTAGAGTCTGAGAAGAAGGGGAAGGGGAAACAAAGAAAAGAACATACAGCTCCTTGTCCTTGGTTTGTTTATCTCCTTCTCTTAATTACCATCTTCCTGCTCGAGTGGGCGAGGCGAGATGGATAATAAGGGGAGAGTAGTTCGAGATAACAAGTCTGCAGTATTCAAGGGCGGGTCCTTCCGAACCATCTTCATGCATGCCGACCACACAGATATTCTGTTGATGATTCTAGGCTTCATTGGCGCCGTCGGTGATGGAGTCGGGATGCCGGTGATGTTGATTATCACCAGCAAGATCATGAACAATCTTGGCGGTGGCTCCACCGCTGATCCCCATCTCTTCCTTCACAATGTCACCGAGGTATATTAGTATATATACGATGTGGTATATCTCCCTTTAATTTCTTTCTTCCCACCCCGTCTCCCATTTTTTTTCTTTTCTTACTCTCCCTGTTTGATTAATTGTTTCATGGGGTTACAGAATGCAGTAAATCTACTGTACATGGCATGTGGATACTGGATTGTCTGTTTCTTGGGTAGGTGTTTTAAATTTTTTTCTCATCATTAATTTCAATTGAGCTCATTTTGGAGGATTCCTGTGGATTATGATTTTGTTCTCTTATTGTTGACTGTAAAGAGGGTTATTGTTGGACAAGAACGGGAGAGAGGCAAGCGACGAGGATGAGAGCGAGATATCTCAAAGCGGTTATGAGACAAGACATAGGTTATTTCGATGTACAGGTGACGAGCACGGCGGAGGTGGTCACTAGCGTCTCCAACGATTGTCTCGTAATTCAAGACGTTATCAGTGAAAAGGTACGGCCTGCGCCTGCTAATCCTCTCTGATGATTCCGTGCATACAAGGCAATACAAAGGTAGCAGTTAACCTGACCCGGTTGTATTGATTGTATCTTATGCTGCTTGCACGATCGATCGGTTGGTTAATTTGTATCAGCTGCCCAACTTCTTAATGAATGCGTCGACGTTCATAGGAAGTTACATCGCGGCTTTTCTGTTGATGTGGAGGCTGGCTCTGGTAGGATTTCCTTTCGTGTTGATTTTGATCATCCCGGGCTTGATATACGGGAGGATTCTCATGGGTTTAGCCAGGAAGATCAGAGAGGAGTATAACAAAGCGGGAAACATAGTAGAGCAATCTGTTTCGTCGATCAGAACGGTTTACTCTTTCGTCGGCGAGAGCAAAACCATGGCTGAGTTCTCTGCAGCCCTCGAAGGATCTGTGAAGTTGGGGCTGAAGCAAGGGTTGGCCAAGGGTCTAGCAATTGGAAGCAATGGTGTCGTCTTTGCTATATGGTCTTTCATGTCTTGGTATGGTAGCAGACTGGTCATGTATCATGGTGCGGAAGGAGGAACGGTCTTCGCAGTCGGAGCCTCCATATCCGTTGGTGGCCTGTAAGACTCTCATGTCTCATCACGTACGACTCTGTAGATAGATGTATCTCTTCTTTCTGGTTTTTAACTCTTACTGAAATATTTAAAATTTGCCCTCTATACTTGTTGTTCCAAATGAGTAGGTCGTTGGGCTCTGGAATCTCCAACTTGAAATACTTCTCCGAAGCCTTCTCGGCCGGAGAACGTATAATGGAGGTAATAAAGAGGGTGCCGAAGATAGATTCGGATAACATGGAAGGTCAGATCCTGCAAGATGTTTCTGGGGCGATCGAATTCAGAAATGTCGGATTCGCTTATCCATCTAGGCCGGAAAATGTTATCTTTGAAGATTTTTGCCTGAAAATACCGGCGGGAAAGACGATTGCTTTGGTTGGTGGAAGCGGTTCGGGAAAATCAACAGTGATTTCTCTGTTGGAGAGGTTTTACAACCCTCTCAGTGGCGAAATTCTACTAGACGGGATCCCCATCGATAAGCTTCAGCTCAAATGGCTTCGATCTCAAATGGGCCTAGTGAGCCAAGAACCAGCCCTGTTTGCAACCTCCATCAAAGAAAACATACTATTCGGTAAGGAAAGTGCAACCATGGAGGAGGTTGTTGCAGCGGCCAAAATTGCAAATGTTCATAATTTCATCGTATCTCAATTGCCACAAGGCTATGATACCCAGGTAAGTTCCTGTTGTCACTTAGCCTGGAGCTTCTTCTGCTAATTAAAAATTAAAAACAGAAAGGGTAGAAGATAAAATTGTCGTTAATTATAACTAATTATAGCTAAACAAATCCAACCAGGTTGGTGAGAGGGGCGTTCAGATGTCCGGGGGACAGAAACAGAGAATAGCAATTGCACGAGCTGTTATTAGAGCACCCCGAATTCTTCTCTTGGACGAGGCAACCAGCGCGTTAGACTCAGAATCCGAGAGAGTCGTCCAAGAAGCACTCGACAACGCTTCCGTCGGCCGCACGACGATCGTGATCGCTCACCGTCTCTCCACAATCCGCAGCGCCGACGTGATTGCCGTGATGAAGAATGGGCAGGTGGTGGAGACAGGATCACACGAGGAGTTGTTCCAGGATGAGGACGGCTTGTACACTTCTCTCGTTCGGCTCCAGCAAACTGACGAATCAGCAAGAGAGATCGAGATCTCATCAACTTCTTCGTCTTTACCATCCCAGACAGTGAACCAAGATAACAATAGCAAAAGATTCTCTACCTTGAGTAGATCCAGCTCAACAAACTCGGTAGTAGTAGCGAGTCGGGCACCGGTCGGCGGTAAGGGTGAGGCCACCCAGTTGGTGCCGTCGTTTCGGAGATTGTTGCTTCTGAATACTCCGGAGTGGAAGCAAGCGAGCTTGGGGTGCGTGAGTGCGATATTATTCGGTGGGGTGCAGCCGGCATACGCCTACGTGTTGGGAAGTATGGTGTCGGTGTATTTCTTGACGGATCACGATGAGATGAAATCAAAGACAAGGATGTACTGTCTGTTGTTCGTTGGATTGGCGCTGTTCTCGTTTGTGATCAACATGAGCCAGCATTACAGCTTCGCCGCGATGGGTGAATACTTGACCAAGAGGATCAGGGAGAGAATGTTGTCCAAGATTCTGACGTTTGAAGTTGGGTGGTTCGATCAACATGAAAATTCTACTGGAGCCGTTTGCTCTAGACTCGCCAAGGATGCCAACGTGGTAATTATCCTTTTATCCCCATTATTTTTTTATTTTTTATTTTCTCTTTATAGTTGTTTCACTTTTATAATACGAGAGTATGTGATGTGGGCCACTGGGCCAGCATCAAAGTTGAGTAAATCCTCATCCTCTGCCTCTGCCCATGCGATTCGATCTCCCATATCGAATACAACCTGCAGAGATATTATTCGACTAAGATACCGAAAAAGTTAGGGTTAAGTACTCTGCAACGTAATGCAGAATTTTAAATGAGCTCCCCCCCTATAGTTCATTAGTAACCCCTTATAAATCGCATCCTATTCATAAATTTAACATCAATTTACGGTCAGGATTCCCTGTATTGTAGGGCTATAAAATTCTGACATGAACTGATTAGTCATTCTCTCGAAAACTTTTGACCAATCTTAAAGTATCATAAAAGTGATAGCCAACAGGTGGTGATCGGGTGTTTTGATTTTTAGATTTTGTTTGATTACATTTATTCCCATTTGATGTATTATTATTATTATTTTTTTTTTTTTTTAGATCTTGTTCAGGCAAAATGATTAATCCCACCACACAGTCAGTAAAACAGGTATCAAATTCAGCTAATCTACTTTTTGCCTTTTATGACTCAAAACTCAAATGAAAACTATGGCCACTAAGAGCAGCGAGTTGAGAACTTGGAAGCCACGGGACCACGGGCACAACACAAAACAAAGGACATTTTGGACAAAATGCACATTTTCTTTTTCAGACCTTGAAGTTGTTTTCTGGACTTCTACTAGTCCATGATCCCTGACGTCTCAGGTTATCGTAGGTTTAATCAAAGAAGACTATGAAAAAGAAAATTCTTTAAACAGAATGTTCGTTTAAAGTTGCAATACTTAGGTAACCTTAAGTCATGAAGACTATGAAATTTTCCAATTAGTATGTTGTATTTTGGGTCTAGTGTCATTCAGTATTCAAACTTTAGAAATATGATAATCCAGTATCTACTGATAATTAGTTGTTAATCAGTCATTAAGTGATATTTGAAAAAGACAAAAATACTCTTCATGTGCCATTTAATTTTGTTTATCAACCATCTAAATGTTGAAAGAAAATTAATAATCCCAAATCTTTGTCTCTTCCATTCAAGAAAGTTAGAGTCACATTTGAGTAGGCATTATCGTCTCTAAACATTCAAGGATCTAGGACTGTTATTTTTCTTTGTCAATATTTGGATGGTTGATAAAGAAAATTAGAAGACACCTGTAGGACATTTGTATCTTTTTCAAATGCCACTTAAGTAGAATTTTCCCAAAGTACAATATACTAATCTGAAATTTTCCCTAATTTATATTACTATAAAAGTATATTGATAATATTGAAACCCAATTGAAAGTTGAAACTGTATTGATACGCAAAGAAAAGCATTAATTAATTAATTTGCTCTTATTCTAAAATTTTGGTAATGAGATAGCTTCATTGCATATTTTAACTAATTAGCATGAATGAATGATATTTACAATGAATGTATTTTAATTAAATAAAATACTTTGCTAATAAAAACAGTTTCTTGGGTGCATTTTGACCATCCAATTTGTTTAATCAACCTTTTGATAATTAAGAAACACATGAAATCATATATAATATATCTTGATAGTTCATCATTGAACAGTAAATTAATAATCGCCCCAAAAATCAAAAAAAAAAAAAGAAAATCGTAAAAAAAAAGAGAATGTAAATCTAATTGCATCCAAAACCACTTTTGTTACGACATGCCTGCAGGGCTGAAGCCGGCCATGAGATCGCAGCCTTTGATTATTTGTTTAGGCCCCAGCTTGAATTAGATTTAAATTAAAGTGACGTTAAGGTAGGGCTACAACAATACATCAAAAGGCTGTGTGATTCACGATCATCACCCCGGCCGGACAGGTCATACACTCATACCATAACAATACGTAGTTGATAGGTGGAATTAACGGTGCATGTATTTCAGGTGAGATCGTTGGTGGGAGACCGAATGGCTCTTGTTGTGCAGACGTTCTCCGCAGTAAGCATCGCCTTCACCATGGGACTTATAATCGCATGGAGGCTCGCAATCGTCATCATAGCGGTCCAGCCCTTGATCATCCTCTGCTACTACGCCCGCCGAGTCCTCCTCAAGACCATGTCCAAGAAGGCCATCAAAGCCCAAGACCAGAGCAGTAAGCTTGCTGCCGAAGCCGTTTCCAACCTCCGAACCATCACCGCCTTCTCCTCCCAAGACCGTATCCTCTGCATGCTCGACCGTGCCAATGAAGGCCCCCGAAGGGAGAGCATTCGCCAGTCCTGGTTCGCCGGCATCGGCCTGGGCACCTCCCAGAGTCTTATGTCTTGCACTTGGGTCCTCGACTTCTGGTACGGTGGCAAGCTCATCTCTCAGGGCTACATCACCGCCAAGGCTCTCTTCGAGACCTTCATGGTCCTTATGAGCACCGGACGGGTCATCGCCGATGCTGGAAGCATGACTTCCGACTTGGCCAAGGGTGCCGACGCGGTAGGTTCGGTATTTGCAGTGCTCGATCGATACACCCGTATTGAACCCGAAGACTTGGAAGGTCACCGTCCCGAGAAGATAACCGGTTACGTAGAGCTTCGGGACATTGACTTCGCATACCCAGCTAGACCCGACGTGATGATCTTTAGAGGTTTCTCTTTGAGCATTGAAGCCGGGAAATCAACGGCATTGGTGGGTCAGAGTGGTTCTGGTAAATCAACAATCATCGGCCTAATCGAGAGATTCTACGACCCACTAAAAGGTACGGTGAGTATAGACGGAAGGGACATAAGGACATACCATCTAAGGTGCTTCAGGAAGCACATAGCGTTGGTAAGCCAAGAACCGACGCTGTTAAGCGGGACGATCAGAGAGAACATTACGTATGGGGTGGCAAATAAGGTGGACGAGGCAGAGATCATCGAAGCGGCGAGGACGGCCAACGCTCACGACTTCATAGCGGGGCTGAAAGATGGGTACGAAACGTGGTGCGGAGACAGGGGAGCGCAGCTGTCGGGAGGGCAGAAGCAGCGGATTGCGATAGCACGGGCAATACTGAAGAAACCGGCGGTGTTGTTGTTGGACGAGGCAACGAGCGCACTGGACAGCCAGTCGGAAAAGGTGGTGCAGGATGCATTGGAGCGAGTCATGGTGGGGAGGACGAGTGTGGTAGTGGCCCATCGGTTGAGCACCATACAGAATTGTGATCTAATTGCGGTGTTGGACAAAGGAAAGGTGGTGGAGAAGGGGACCCACTCTTCGCTTTTGAATAAGGGACCCACGGGAGCTTACTACTCCCTGATGATCAGCCTTCAAAGGAGTGGCTCCCAATGATAACCATGGTCGGACCAACGGGGTTTATATGAAATCTAATTTTTCCTTTTCCTTGCTGCAAATTCTGCTACTTTAATTTGCCAGAGGGGCATGACCTTCACAATTCACAATTACCGTGTAGAATTTTTGATGGACAAAAAAGTGAACGGGTTGAAAGGTGTATACGTAAATATGTTTTTTTGTCGGTCAAAGTATTTTCCTGAAGCCCATCCTTTGATCGAAGCCTACTTTTGGTCCAAGTAGGAGAATTGTCTGTACTAAAAGAAGAAAGCATAAAGCATAAACAAAAGATAAGGGCAACTGTTTGTCCTGAATATCGATAAAAGATAATATTTTTATAAAATAATAAAAATAAAGTAACTTTTTATGAAAAATATCAAGAAAAGGTAATAATATTGTTCATCCTTTCTTTGTATTTATCTGAATATACTGGACTGACACAAAGCGAGTCGTGCCGGACTAAGACAAAGCTACTAACGGTGGTATTTACCATGGTTCGCTAAATCAAGTTATCATCACAGATCTGTAAAAGCCACTGACGGCGGTTTTTCTGCTTGTTCTTGGCGACGAGTCTAAGCTCCATGGCCGCCTGCCTCTGCCTCTGCAAGTCTAGTGAGCCTGATTCGAACACAAAATCCGCTTTGTCTATCATACCGGACTCGAGGCCATTAATTCAACAAGATAGTTATGACTTTGTTCTCCTTCAACGAACACAGCAAATAAAGATCGGTTAATGCGTCTGTGATTCCATGATATCCATCTCTTTCTCTCTCCGACAAAAAAAAAAAAAAGAGTTCCGTGATTGAATTGGCCTAGGGAAGAAAGAATATTCATATTCGTGCGAAAGCATAAAATCCATCGATATAGCGAGAAAAAGTGCTTGCTTGCTGACAAATAGACCGAACTCTGAAACGTTGAATTTCTTAAACAAGTAAAGGAATCAACTATGGAGTGATACTGACTAGCGACATTTTCGACCCTTCATCTTCTGAATCTCAGCCAAAAAGTAGTACTCTTTCGCTATTCGACCTGATTTATCATGGTGGCTATCGGAGCAACTCTCTCAACACTCATTTTCTCGCTGGTTTCCCGCCGCCAAATTTCATCAGCTGCCGAAAATTCAATGAGGCGGATTTCAGCTCGAGGATCAGTCCTACCCTCCGAACAATCTCCAACTGTCCTCTCCAAACCGGACAGCGGACCTCCTCGTTGGTTTTCACCTCTGGAGTGCGCCTCTCGATTAGAGAACTCCCCTCTTCTCCTGTACTTTCCCGGTAATGTCTTTGTCTCGGTCCGGCATGACTCGCTTTGTCTCACTCCAGTGTATTCGGATGAATACAGAGGCAGAGGAGAGGAAGAGGAAGACGATTTTTTTCATAAAAAGTTATACTATTTTTGTTATTTTATAAAAATATTATCTTTTATTGATAAAAAACCTAAACAAAAAACAGTAACTTGTCGCTTGATCTCCAATGCAGAATCCGCCCCCCATTTTGGTCATAGGTGCGGTTTTTGCTCCTCTATGTTGGAGAAGGTAAGAAGGTCTCACATCATTCCAGATATGCTAGAAACAAGATGTGTCTGTAACAAGGACTACTATACACAATAAAAAATAAACAAGTGAGTAGCTAATGCATCTGGTGCTGGTAATTAGGAATGTAGATATGATTGTTAGCTGTTGTAATTTTTTTTTTTGGCAGATTGTAGATATTAATGGGTCTAGTCTCATTTGGTACCCAAATTTTAAAATGTATTCATCTCCTAAAAAGTCCCAATTTAGTTCAAAATCATTAACCACCTTTAAGTGGAATATGAATGAGTGCAAATACCTTTCGGGTGTCATTTTATTTTCTTCATCAATCATCCAAATGTCTAAATCTCTTAGGAGCAGATAGAGAAAAGCAATTTTTTCACCATTGCTTTGGTTTGATCTTGATTATTGAGGAAGAAGATGATGAACAATGTTTTATTTCAAAGGATAATTTTGATATGTCATCACCTGATAGAGATAACTGACAAACTATTAATGACAATTACTAAATTGACAATTTTCGAAAGTTCAAGTACTGTATTGGAACATTTTGAAATCTGGGTATTAAAATGAGACTAGTCCCAAAGCACAAGATACTAATATAAAATTTACCCTATTTTTTCTAATAGGATGTAATAGCCCATTCTTTTCTTCGTTTCCAGGGGGCTAAACAATAGGGGTAGACTATCCCCCTACCCCAACCCCTTGCGTAGGTGGGATTTGATTCCTAAGACTCCATTACAACCAATAGAAGACCTTACTAACTAGCCAATTGACACCCACACTGAGAGGGATATATGTGTTAATAAATGAAGCCAACAACAGTTATATATCTATAAATTGAACAAGCCACTTGTTCGGGTGATGGATGAGTTAGCCAAAAATGCCGTCTGGCTATCTCTGTGCCCCCCCCCCTCAGGCCATGTTGATGCCACACGTAACGGAAGAGCATGATTAAGAAGGAGTGTCTCGCACAGACAAGGAAGTGAACTCCGCTGGGGAAGAGGAAACCTCTCGAAGACCTCGGTGGACGCCCTCATCTTAACAACCTCAGAAGCCCTATCCATTTGGGACACAAACACCCAACTAAATAGGAATTCCCTACTCAAGGTAAAGGACTTCTGGAAGAACGCTCTTTGAATACCTCATTGCATTATCTCTCTGGTTTGGATTAGCGTGATTTCAACCTGCTAGTCCCGACCATATCTTTCTCTACCATATTGACTTGAGCGTCGAAGTACCTACTTGGGGAACAAATCATCAGGCCTCTGACCTTTCTCCTGGTTACAGATCTTGGTACATGGCTTCGTCCTTCTACCTTGGCCTCGTCTAGTTGGAATGACTATTTGATTGTGTCCTCGATTCGAAACACCTCGAATAGAACAACATTATATTGGCGTCGTTTATGGGATACGTACAAAAATTCATTTCCCAAACCCCTTTCTGCACACTAAAAACAATCATGCTCAAAAATACATCCAACCACTCTAGAGCCCGTTCCCCATCTCGGGAATCCCACTCACTTCGTAGCCCTCCACCTCAGGAGCCCTAGCATCAGATAGCAGTCGGCCCCGCATAGTTCCTCATCGTGTAGCAAAAAGTTGACTGTATCCTCACCATGATGGAGACGTTGGGACAACCGGTGCGTGCAGTAGCCCCCAATCTCAATAGCTGAATCCAGCTCAGTCCGAGATTGATAAGAAGCTCCGAAAGCAAAGAAGTCCATCAACGGGGCACCGACGGGAAGGAACACTGAAATCAGGGACCTACGACAACGATTGGTTGAGCTGGAATGCAGCCAACGTTATGGTCAGTAGCCCACAAAAGAACATGTCTTCGTCCAAGAGATCGTCGACGATCTTCCCACAGTCGAATGGCGACCTCCTCAGTTTGAGAAGTATGATGGGGCTTCAGACCCAAATGACCATATTGAAGGGTACAAAATGATAATGATGTTGCACAACTCCTCCAATGGTCTCATGTATGAGGCCTTCATCACCACCCTCCATGGAGTCGCCAAAACCTGGTGTGCTTCCATTCCGTCGCAGTCTATATCCTCTTGGGATAGTTGGAGACACAGTTCTTGGTGCAGTTCACCGCCAACCAAAAGCATTGGAAGACGTCAACCAACCTCATGCAAGTACGATGGAGGAAAGGAGAAACCTTGAGGGAATACTTGGTGAGGTTCAACGCCAAGGCCCCTCAAATCTGAGCTCTAAACCAGTCGGTAGCTGTGACAGCCATCATGAGCGGGTTGCACTCCTCAATGTTCAGCTTCTCACTACAAAAGAACCCCCCGCCTAACCTGACTACGCTCATGAAGCATGCACAGAAATACATGAACGTCAAGGAAGGCCAAGCACAACAAAGGAGTGAAGAGGACCAACATGATCAAAAGCGGAAGAACCATGGTGAGCACAGATCAAACAAGGACAGCAAGAGACAGGACCGCCGACCTAACCGTAGACCGAGGACCTCGCCGTTGACGTACAGGAACTTTACTCCCCTGAAGACGCTGTGGGCCGAAATATTAATGTAGATCTACAAATGTAGATTCGTCGAGTGGCCCGAAAAGATGAAAACCCAGGGCAACAAGAGGAATCAAGATAGGTATTGTGATTTCCACTGACACCATGGCTACGACCTTTGCCACCACTTGGAAGACCTCGTCCGACATGGATACCTCCATGGGTTCATCAATATCAAAGAGCATAAACCTAGAAAAGAGATACACCACACCGATGAGCCCCCAACCTAAGCTCCCCTGGTCGAGGTCATCGTCATCATCTCAGGCGGGACGACCCTTAAAGGGGGAAACTAGGCGTGGAAGTCCTACTCCAAGGAGCTGGATTGCTAGGACTAAGATGTACTAACGACGATGGGCATTGAGCACTAATGGCGACTGGGGTATACAAACTTAATAAAGAATTTTCTTCAAGCACAAAAGACCAAACACCCACACACAGCCCAGCCAAACTCCAACGGTAGAACTCCACACTGACCAACGATTGCAACGCAATGACAACCTCAACAATGACTCAACCGACCTATAACAGCCCAACAACCATCACAAGAAAGACCCGACCAACCACAAATAGTTAAGGCGAGAACAAGCCCCCAACGGGCACCGTGAGAACGACGTCCCCGCCATACAATGGCAAGAGGGCGGCCATCAAACTCCATGCACCCTCCAGACTCGCAGTCGGAGCAGAGCTAACCGAGGACCACGGCTAGCCCAGTCAAAGAGTGTGAAGCTCTCCAAGACCAGATGCCACCGAGGTCCCCGACAACGTTGAGAGCTTGAAAGCACCTCAGCTAGCATAAGACCAAGGCTACTAAGCCAAAGACCTCGGTCACCAAGAATCAAAACCAAAGACCTTGGCTAGCGTAAGACCGAGAGCACATAGCCAAAGACCTCGGTCATCATAAGACTAAGGCGACGAAGTCGAAGACCTCGGCCAATATGAAAGCAAGTTTACAAAGTCGAAGACCTCGGCCAATATGAAAGCAAGTTTACAAAGTTGAAGACCCTGGCCAACATGAGACCGAGGTCACGAAGTCGAAGACCTCAGCCATCCAACGTCAAGCCCAAGACCTTCACCAACATGAGACCGATACCATAGTGCCAAAGACCCCAGTCACAACGTCAAGTCTGAAAACCCAACTAGCCTAAGAGCAAGT